CAGCTCAGTCCTGCAGGCGGTGTGTCTAGCCACAGAAACGTGATGACCAGAGGTCAGGTTAAGCAGCCAGACTAGAAGAAGGAGCCATACAGGGGTTCATGGGGGCCTTTTATTTTTCAATATGCATTTCTATTCTGGTAGCGACATTTTATATTTTAAACACAGTCTCTCACTTTAAGAAATACAAGTGCATTGTTGCTGTTATTTTTGTGGTTTCTTCCTAAATTTCCCCCCCTGAGACTGCCATAAGTGGCCCTCAAAGGTCTTCCTAGGTTTACTTACACAACAGCCAAGGATTTTAGGAACATACTATAGTCAAGCAAACTTTATGCCAATATACTGAATCTCACTGTTTTGCTGTAGGAAGTCACAATGCCTTATTTTAGGTCTGGGGAAAAGTGAGATTTTAGTGAAGGCTAAATAAGCTTACTCACTTCATAAAACACTGTCAGTTACATGTCAGACCTCATACTAGTAAATCTGGGGGAAATGTTACTTCACACATCACACACAACATGCTTCTCAATCTCACTGTAATTTCTCCAGTCTGATAAGTTCTATGCTTCAAGGTCTTATAAAATACTTTTCCAAAGTTTACTGGTTTTGAAATGACAGAAAAGCTAAAATGTTCCCTGATGACTTCAGACTTTTCACCTCTTTCTGGATTTAGAGGAGAGTTTACAAATTTCAGATATTCTCTTGGGAAAGAAAACTGGGGGATAGCTTAGTGGTGAAGCATCTGCTTAACTTTTTTAAGGTTCTGAGTTCCATGTCTGGGACCCAAAGGAAAAAAATAGAAGCGATTTTTTGAAACAGCAGCTGGCCAGCTGTGGCCACAGCCTATAGGCTGAATCTGGTCCCAGCTGTTCTTTAAAAGTTTGTGAGCCTAGAATAGTTTTTGTACCTCCATATGTTGTAGAGAAAGCAAGGAGAGATTAGAAAGCAGAGGGGAATATGGGGCAGAGAGCTCTGCAGCCCATAAGCCTTAAATATTTACTATCATGTACTTTGTAGGAAAGGTTTACTTCTTCTCCCACTACTTGAACAACTGTTTGAACCAAAAACAATACTTTGTGCACAAGGTGGAAACGTTTCTGTTATTAAAACGTCAGTGACATTTGGATTACTCTAAAATTAGCATGAGTGATTTCCACTATGTTTTAAAAATCCTAGTTCTTTTCTATATATTTGCAAAGTTTGTAAGATGGTAACTAAAGAATAGCACCATAGAGTATTTACATTGAACATTCTATTATATTGTGTCAATTTCAGGAAACACAAAGTTTTGTGATTTCCATTAATACTTTGTAAATTATCATAAAAGAGAAAAACATACCCTCTCCTAAGCACATATACAAAACACGGCCAGTAAGTGAGATTTAATAGTGACAATATATATAACACACCAGTAGCTATAATTGATTTTTAATCTTTGAATGATAAATTTTACTGCATCTGTAAAACACTAATTATTGCATAATTTTTGTGTAAATGAAGGTTCAGCTTTAAAGAGTACCCTTGTATATGACAAAGATTAGACTTCATGTTAACTTTTCAACTTTTGATACACATTTCCAATTCATAATGGCTTGTTAATAATCAACTGTGTGTCTTCTTTTCTCCTTTTTCAACCCCACGTTAAAAAGCAGCAAATGTCCTGGAAAGAGTCGAATTACATAAAAGTTGGGGAGAAAAAGCTGCTTTCAAGGTCAACAGCAGTGTAGCATTTGTCACTAAGCAATACGTCCTGTAGTTATCAGTCTTTGTTTTCTTTAGTAGAACAGGCCGCTGAATCATTTACCTTACTTATATTAAAACTGAAGAAGAGGTATTGGTATTAAAGACTATCATAGGAACATGTTTTTGGGAAAATGTTGAAAACAAGAAAATATCTATTTTCATTAAAATTTCTGGAAATAAAAAATAGAAAGAAGTTAAATACCCACGCAAAGTGCACCATCTGATAAATAGTCCAGAGATCAGATATAGGAACAAAATGTGGCATGATAAAAATGGTCAGACTTTAAATGTAACACTCAAACATGCAATATCCAATTAAAGGTAAAGTGTATTCTGCCTAAAAAGAAAAAAAAAAACTTTATTTCCAGTTGAAACTCTGATTTTCAAATAAAGTGAATGGAAGAGCTGCTACTTTGTCCCTGATTTATCCTTATTGGATATTCCACATCCAGTCACTTTGCTTTTCTGCGTCTAATTTGCCAAAACAGCATTCCTACCAAATGTAAACCTTTCTACAGGGTATAAACAACACAGATTGTATGAGACCCTTTCAATAATAAAGTGAAATATAAATACTGCATGCTGTTTTTATTAAATCCATTGCGATATCTCCTATGTTTCTTAAACTTTCCAAATACTGCTATATCAAAAGGGACACTTTTACATAGATTTACTACTTCGTATTAAAGAAAATGGAACGTAGTACCTATACTACTTTGTCATTTTTAAAACTTCAATTAAGGTAGCATTTTAAATGTCTAAACTTCTCAGATTTGAAAGAGTACTAAAAGCACAATCTAATGATACCATGAATGTTGAAGAAATTAACATATTGCAAACATTTTTTCATAAACATACTCTCTCTGAAAAGCTAAACTGAGATAAAACACTATTCTAAACATCTTAAAATCCATCACCTTTTCATTTGATGGTGAAATCTCAAATGTGATGTAGGTGGATATTGACTAATTGTCTTTCCCTTGGTGTATCTTAGTAATAATCTTTCAGTTCCTTGAAAATGAAGAAACAAGCAAAAGATCAAAAGAGCCCTATAGGTCCCATTCAGCTAACACTGGATTTAGGTGCTGGGAAGCCATCATCTCAGATGTGTTCACACTAAGGTAGTCAGGAGAAGCTGGCTGGGATGACAGCCCCACGCCCTGAGGTCTTTTCCCTCATACCAGGGCACACTGAGGTCACAGGATGTGACAAGCGCCTTGATGCTCCAGGTCAGCACTCACACCCACACTACTACCCCTCTCCTCCCCACTCCTCCCATCCCTTGTGACCAAGTTATTCCATCCACTGTTAATTCTTTATAGAACTTTCCACTGTACTATCGTCTTCTACCTCTCCACCCCTCCTTCCTTCGGCCCCACTTTCCCCCCTCTATACCATAATATAAATACCATGGGAATTGCCACGCTTGTCTGTATTATCCATTATTGTATCTCCAATGACTTGAACAGTATCTGCGCATAGAAGGTTCTCTCTGTTCTCCTGAGTAGGTGAGTTAGTGAATGGGTAAATAAGTGAATGAATTGTTTCAACACAGGTGCTCAAGTTGAGTGCTAATGTCTGAATCACCCAAGCCCCGCAAGCCAGGGAGGTATGTCTGCTTCTTTAGAATCATGTGGATTAGGAGCAGAGTATTAAAACTGAATTTTTCAGAGCAAATCCAGCTGTCATTACTCAAAGGAAAATGTTACCATAGCTGGAGACATTTACATTGTTACTCCCCTCTTCGCTTTGTCTGTGATGAATCCCTGTATACTAGTACCTGGGAATAGGCTAGTTTATATTCTCTCCTGCTTTTTTCCTTCAAAACTCTGTTAATTCTCCTTTTAAAACATTGTATCTGTCTTTTACTTTCTCCTTGACACTGACCTTCAGCTCTTTGGTGTTTGTGTCTTTCCCCCATATGATCTGAGTCCACCCAAGATTTCAGCAATGGCTTTTATTGTCTATTTTTTCTCTTTTTCCCTTTCTTTCTTTCTTTCTTTCTTTCTTTCTTTCTTTCTTTCTTTCTTTTTTTCTTTCTTTCTTTCCTTCCTTTCTTTTGTCTTCCCTTTCTTTCCTTCCTTCCCATTCCTTCCTTTCTTCCCTTCCCTCTTTCCTTCTTTCTTTTAAATTCAGCTGGGCTTTAGTTCAGAGGTAAAATCCTTTTCTAGCATGTGTAAGGCCGGGGCTTTCATCCCTGGCAATGCAGAAGAAAAACAAAAACTCAAAAAGCATGCTGCAGTATTTTGTGCTTATTTAGAAAGAACTTGTGATTTTTTTCTTTTTTCCCAACATGGACCCTTTCTCCAGTAGGAAATGTGTCTCTATTATCTATTCCTGCATGCATTTTGGTTCATATTTTCAGACACTCTACAATTCTAGTTCTAGAATGGATTCTCCAATAAGTTAGTTGAGTATCCTGTTGGGGGTGGGGTGTATGAGAAGAAGGAATAAAAATGATTGAGGTTTAAGGAAGCTACTCATACAAAGCAAAATTCTAGCACAAGGAACACTGGGCTCTGAGGTCTTAATCCCTTATGCCAGGCTTCCCCTGTTCTCCACTGTGTCCTGTTGCCTTCTTTTTGTCCCTCCAAATTCACTCTGCACTCCCTGGTAGCTGAGCTCTTCTCTGGGGAGCCTGCCTGGTTACATGACCCTCACACAAATACGGTGAGAGTCCATAGAAATTGCTTGTTGTGTATTTTTAAAATAAAACATTGCAAAGCAAGGTGGCTCAAGCCTGTCATCCTGTCGACTCAGGAAGCTGAGGCAGGAGGATGATAAGATTTAAAGCCAGTCTGAGCAACACGAGACCTGTCTCAGAATAAAAAAAATGGCTGGGGGATGTAGCTCATGGCAAGGTCCTTGACTGGATTCCTAGCTCCAGAAAAGAAGAGAAAAACTCAATTTTAATATTTATTAATGTGAGTTCGATTCCCGGTACCAGAAAAACAAAAACAAAAACAAAATTTATTAATGTGATCGTGGTGCCCTATAGCATTTCATTCTTTTTACATAGAAATAAATTTACATATAGTAAAAGGACCCATGAAAATCTTGGTCTATTTCCTGTTTAAAACAACTTGTTTTCAAATAGAAGTGAACTCTTTTATTTCCCCCCAAATTGTTTATGATAGGAGGATAGAAAACCCTTCCACTGGATAAGAACTTGCACTTCTTTCAGCACGTGGAGAATAGGGCTGTTTCCCATTTATTTATTTATTTATTTATGTTTTAATATTTCACGCTCTTGTTCCCAGGCATTTCCCGGAAACGTCAACTCTGACAGCGTGGTCCGGCACGACCTGCAGCACCCTGTCATCGCCCGCTACGTGCGCGTGGTGCCGCTGGACTGGAGCGCGGAGGGCCGCATCGGGCTGCGGGTCGAGGTCTACGGCTGCTCCTACTGTGAGTGTGCGGGTTCGAATCCGGAGCGGGGTCTTTGTTATCTGCGCTTCAGTAGCATTAAAACAAAACAAAATAAAACAAAGCAAAAAACAAACAAAACAAAACAAACAAAATCAACACTTGCTTTCTCTGAAAATAAGCACACACACACATACGTATGTTTAACTAACAGACTTGCTTTCTGTGAAAATAACTATTTTTATATATAAAACTCAAGGTTCTTTTCTGTTTCTCTGTTATAAATGTACACTATACAAACCACCAAAAAATACACCTAAGAATAACCTAAGGATTTAGATAATGAGATTGTTTTCAGTATATTACAACAACAAAGCTTATTATGTTGCCTGTAATATTGTGAAATATTTAGCAAGAGAAAATCTGCACTGTGACTCACTTTTTGGTTGTTGGTGATGGGGTTTTAAATACTTGCTGAAGAACTTCCTTCACCTAGTCTCTCTTAAATCATCCCTCTTTTTATTTTAAAAGCCAACCACTGAGCTGATGTCAGATTCATTTTATATTGCTATATGTTTTACTTGCTCCTGTCCAATCTGTCTACTTACCTAAAACGTTTCCTCTCACTTAATCAGATTTAAACTCCTTTAACCATTTCCTTAGATACATTATACTTTCTAAAACTGCTTAAATACTTTGTACCTTTGTCTAATAATTGCAGTGTGGATTTGGGAGAGTTCTAATTCTGCTGTCTGCTCTCTCTGCTTATTTTTTATTTTATGGAAAAAATGTAAATCAAAATTTCATAGCAGGATGATGGGAGACTAACAATAGTTAATACATTGCTTATTATTATCTTTAAAGTAGTTATTCAGAGTACAAGATAGGGACATAAAAATTCACCAGTCTATATTAGCACAAACCTTCCTTTTCTATAAACTTAGAGACAATAATAGTATAACTAACTTGCATTTTTCTCCCTTTTCCCTATCTTCCTTTCTCCTTTCCCAATCTAGTTCCTTTTTCCTTTTAAACTATTTCTTCCCATTTCACAATACCTATTGTACATTTTAGACTTTATTTACTTTTTTCAATTTCTCACACCAGGGACACAATATGGGGGTGATGTTTACACATATTGGTTTGATTTATTCACTAGTGAATAGGTCTCAAGTTGCATCCATTTACCTATAAAAGTCTCAAATTTACCCTCCTTTATAGCTGAATAATGCTCCATTGTATAAAAATACCACACCTTTTTTATCCATTCTTTGGTAGATGGGCATTTGGGTTGTTTCCAAGATCTAGCTGTTACAAATTGTGCTGCTATAAACATCACTGCACATATATCTCTGTGGTACGATGTTTTTAATTCTTCTGGGGAGACACACAGAAGGGGCATAGCTGGGTCAAATGGGACCTCTAATCCTGCTTTCTCTGTGTTTTCTCCCTTTTTTATTTTAAACAAAAAAGTAACAAAATAACAGCAACAAAACAACACAAAAACAATAAATACAATACAGGATTTCAAAAAAGATGACAGGAATTAACAATGATAACAGTAGATAATAACACAATCTCTGCTTATTTGGGTTTGTAGCACCGCAGGCTCCCTTTATCCAAGTGCAGTTTATCTCAAGACCCGCACAGAATGACCAGAACCATAAGTAGTAATGAACTCTATACGTACTGTTATTTTCCCTAAATGTACACACATATCTACAATAAAGTGTAATTTATAAATTAGACAGAGTGAGAAATTAACAATAACTAATAATAAAATGCAATAATTATAACAACATACCACATAATAAAGGTTATTTAAAGTTTATTATTATTTTTGTTTCTGGAACAGTATTTTGGACCATAGTTGACTATAGGCACTGCACTTACAGAAAATCAAAGAGCAGACGGGGGAGACCACTGTTTCCCCTCTACACTGCCTCCTCCCTGCTTCTTCCTCCTCCTCTTTTTTCTTTTCTTCTCCCTCTCCCTGTCTTTCTCTTTCTCCTCCTTTTGCTTCATTCTCTTCTTATCTTTCTTTTTATCTGCTTATATTTTATGCACTTTCTTTTTCTTAACATCTTGACTATGATCTCAGTATCTTCAAAACTTTATCTGTGGCACTTCTCTAGAAAGAAGGAAAAAAAAAAAAGTTGATGAAGGTTCCTGAATAGACAATTTCTCATTAGCTTCTTCTGTGAATCCAGCGTCAACTCAAAATTACATTAACGTTTCTTTACTACTTTTGAAACCACTAGATTATATGAATTTAATCTGCAAACACAAAACTTGCAAACACTGGCTTCCTGATATGAATTCTCCAGGAAAGGATCTTTTTCTCTTTCATCCAAGGAAATGTCTTCCTTATTCTTTTTATGGGCCAGGGGAAGAGGAAATTTAGGTATGGAGAGAGAGGGCAATTGAGATACGCATGTTCTGCAAAAAAAATTTTGTTTTATCTATCCCTTCATATAGACCTGTAAACGTGAAAGCTCACTGTAACCATAAATTTAAAAATTTCCCACTGGAGAAGCTTCTTACAATTAATGAAACACTTCGTATTTTGTCATAAGGGATACAGCTGTGGAAATTTAGCTGCTTTTTCAGCAAGCCTGGGCTTTGAAAACCACAAGATAGGAAGAACAACTCATTGAAGCAAACTAGGAAGTCAGACTGTTTTAGTGTATCAGGCAACTCAGACAGCCTTGGAAAACTATATCAGCATTTATACTAGTAGATATCAGGGGTATAAACGATAAATTGGCAACATAAAGCAAAAGAGAAATTGAAAAGTAACATTGCATTGGGTTGGACAATGGTCTCCTGAAGACATCAGGACCTAATTCTTGTGTAATACAAGGAATTTGCAGATATGATACAGTTAACTCTCTTGACATGGGAACTGCAGTCTGCATTACCCAGGGGGACCCTGAGTTGCACTAAGTTTGTCCTTAGAAGAGATAATGGAGAAGATTTCACAGGCTGGGAAAGAGGAGGGTGTGATTACAAATCAACGATTGTCAGCATCTACCAGAAAATGGTAGAGGAAAGGGTCAGAGTCTGTCACAGAGCCTCAGAAGTACTGTGATAGGGCTGGGCATGTAGCTCAGCTGCACAAGTGCCTGCCTGGCAAGCACAAGGTCCTGTGTTCGATTCCTGGTACCATAAAAAGAAGAAGTACCGGGGTACCATGGACACACTAAGGTCAGCCCACCGACACTGCCTTGGGACCTGTGGCATCCGTTATTGTGATAGAACAAATTCTTCTTGTTTTAAGCCACTAAGTTTATAGGAAATTTTTTAGCAATAGCAGGAAAGTAATATACAAGTCAACGTCATTTTAAATTTTTTTTAAAAAGATGTAAAAAGAATATAGTTCTCTCATATAATTTTCCAGAAAGATGTAAATAATCTTATCCTGTGCCACAAAAGTCTCTCTAGGATTTAAAATTAACTAAAGAATTAAAATCTTAATCTTAATTAATTTAAATTTGAGTGTCAATGTTTTGACTGCTGGTTAGCATATTGGCAAGCACAGTAAGAAGAACCAAAATACCTACGTCTTGATATTTTTCACCACCTTCCTCCTAATCCAAAATATTTATAACCTTCAATTTTTAAATAGCAGTCTCAAAGTTTTCCCTGAATTTAGAAAACAACAACTTAATCATTCAAACAAATGTCTTTGTTTTTAAAGAGATGTAATGACTAGTCATCTGCCTACCCACACCGAATGTTCAGGTGCAGTTCAGATTGTTTTTCTGTTTATGAAAAATGCAAACTGGGTTTGTCTTTTTTCCAAGAAAAATATACATGTGTGTAGTAAGAAAAAAACATGTAAACAATCTGTCATAGAAAGCTTTCCCAGAGTTAGTACAATTTTTTTTTTTAAGATGGAATTCAGACTACATAGGACCCTTCGGTGACAGTATGATTTTTCTTAGTCTTAATAAACTGTTTCCTGAAGGGCCTTCTGTGATTTTCTAGGAGAACAGGAACCACAGTTCTTTGAGGAAACATGACTCAGATTTGCCCTTTCCCCGCGCTGTCTCAGTGAGCAGCAGTAGGGTATGTTCTAGGAACTTAGCAAGGAGAAATGTGGCTTTGATTACTCCCGTGGGAGTAATCAAAGATTCAAGAAATGACTTCTTGTATCTCTCCAGAAATCACTTAAAGTGCTTATCTGGGGTCTATCTTGAACTTACAGCCTTGGGAGGAGTTTCATTTCCCGTCCTCTTAATATTTACAGTTCTTCCGTGGCTACTCTGTGGTCTGAGAAATGGGGCACTCTCAGGGGTGAAAAACAGAAGTTATAATAAAGAGCACATCTGTTCCAGGCAGAGGAGATTAGTTCCAGGCCCGTTTTAAAGCCTTTAGGGCCTCCACTGCTTTGGTTTCCTGACTTGCCTTAAATATGAAATGAGTTTTGATTTCAATGACTCTGAACTCCTTCGCAGTTCTTCTACTCCCTCTGTATTTAGTTTTTTCCACCTTTAGCTGAAACAAGCACGTGATACTATTTTGAGACTCAGTGAGATGTCTCATGGCTTTGGCTCTATAATCTGTAACCCGCACTCAGAGGGCAGACATTAATCTCCTCATTCCACACTGCAAGGGCAGCATGCAGCCAAAAGGAAACCCCTCAGTTGAATAATTTTGCAAAACCATTTATGACGTCCTTGCCCAAACATTCACTTGACAAAAGCCCATCACGTTGTGTTAATGAAAGCGGTGATCATTTTTGGTGTCAAACACTAAACTGGCCTTTAACCAGAATCTGCCTAAGAGTTAGCTTTGCACCTTATAAAAACAAGGAGCAAACAATCAAAGTAACTTTTATACATGCTTTCAATGTGCAGGAATAATTAATAAGGCCTAGAAAGGTTACCTAGGGCAAATCACGGTGGAAAATCACTGTAGGACAAGAAGAAAAGCAGACCAAGAGAAGCTGCATATAAACACTGCCGAGAAATGACAAAGTTTGGTCCTCTCATATTGGACCCCTGGGGCATCTGCCTTCTCCATTGACAGTATTTTCT